TGTCCAAGGTCACACAGGTATTTTGTGGCAGAGCTGGAATATCACCCAGATTTTCTGAGTCCATGTCTTAAACACAGGACTACGGTTGCCACCTTTCTAATTGCACAAAACTGAGCACCCTAACCCCACCCCTTCCCTGAGGCCCCGCCCCTGCTCACTACATTTCCCCTCCCTCAGTGACTTGCTCTCCCCCACCCTCACTCACTTTCACTGGGCTGGGGCTGGGGCTTGGAGTGCGGGAGGGGATGAGGGGTTTGGGGTACAGGAGGGGGCTCCAGGTTTGGGGAGGTTCAGGGCTGAGGCAAGGGGTTGAGGTGTGGGGGAGAGTGAGGGCTCTGGGCTGGGGGTGTTAGCTCTGGGATGGGGCCAAGGATGATGGCTTTGGGGTTCAGGAGGGGGCTCCCAGGTTTGGAGGGTCTGAGGGCTGGGGTAGGGGGTTGGGCCATGGGCTTACCTCGTGCAGCTCCGGGTCAGTGGCGCAGCCGGGGAGGCTAAGGCAGGCTGCCTGCCTGTCCTGACACTGCATTGTGTGTGTGCTGGAAGTAGCCAGCAGGTCTGGTGCTAATAGGTGGGGAGTGGGGGCAGGAGACTCCATGCATGCCTCTCTCATGGCATGCACCGCAGGCACCACCCCCAGCTCCCATTGGCTGGGAACTGGCCAATGGGAGTGCAGAGCCAGTGCTCGGGGCGGGGGCAGTGCGCAGAGCCCCATGGCCCCCCGCCTAGGAGCCGGACCTGCTGGCCACTTCGGGGGCACAGTGCAGTGCCCCAGGACAGGTAGGCACTAGCCTACCTTAGCACCGCAGCACTGCCAATCACACGTTTAATGGTCCAGTTTGTGGTGCTGACCGGAGCCGCCAGGGTCCCTTTTCGATCGGGCGTTCCGGTAGAAAACTGGACACCTGGTCACCCTACACAGGACCATCCATCCAGCGTCCTTTTGCAGTTAAGTGTTTTTTCGCTCTTATGGCTGCCTACTAAACTCTCTCCCTCATTGGAGTTGCATTCAGTAGAATTAATAGCACATCGTCAGGAACTGTTGTCTTAGGAACAGCATAGCACCTGTTTCCCTTAAAGGGAAATTATTGATATCTCCTAGGGATACAGCAAACTTCTTTGTTATCTCTGCAGGATGCAGCTTCACTTCAATAATTCTTAAAATTACTTCTGAGCTTTTTACTTTTGAGTCCCTGCTCCCAATGCCTGCAGGCAGTAGACCAACCATCCATAAACTCCAATTGTTCTAAAAATTTCCCTCTATTCTCTATTCTATGGTGCAGGGTACCATTTTTCTGAACTTATGCTTCAATAACTGCACCTTGACTTTCAAATGTATTAATGAAGTCAGTTGCCAGTTTTTTAGCAAACTCTCAGTTTTACCTCAGCACACTTCTATTTTCCCTTCAAGCTCCAAAATCCACAATGCAAATAAGTCAGTGTTTACATCTAAAGCTTGACTTGTGGAAAACAGGGCTCTAAAGAAATGGCTGCAAACTGTGGGTCAGATTCACTGGGTGGTGTCTCTTGGAGTTCACCATCAGTCCCAAGTTGTGGGTCCAATCTGACAAGGATGGGGAATTCAACAAGGTGACCAAGACTCTTAACTCTGCCATGGGGCCTGAAGACATCAGGCAGCCCCACAGAGTGGGCATAGCTGGCTAGGAATGAGACAAAGCCAAGCCATCCGTGCTAGTTCAATACATCTCCTGGGTAGGCTCCAGTGGCAAGTTTCTGATGGAGCCTCAGCAGCAGTTTAAAAACTCCTCTCTGCTGGTGTACAACAGTACTGCAGTTTGCCCTGTCCCTGGAGCAGCCTGGTCTGGAAGAATGAGCACATGGCTGGGAGTCAGGAGGTCCTGAGTTATAAGCCTGGCTTTGCCACTGATGCACAGTGTGGCCACAGTTTTAAGAATTTCTGACATCAATAAATTAGGGAAATGAACAGTGAGAAAATCAATAGTCTTGTGGGTAAAAGAAGTAAATTTGATTCTAAAATACAACAATGTCCTTTGTAATGAGGCGCTATTAAGCAGCACTGTATATCCTTAAGAAACAAACCTGAATCCACCAAAACACGCAGTAATCTGCAACAAATTCATGGCTGGTCTGGTTCCCAAAGCAAACACTTCGCTGCCAGATGTTTCACCATATGCTCCACAGTGCACAAAATCCACCGTGTCTAAGAGCCTGGCATTAGCATAGTGCCACTTAGAAACTTAAACTTGATCAGACTTCAGACTACGCCTGACAGATGAGGACTCTTGCACCACCCTATTCTTAACATCTGTTAAATAATGAATGGAAATGATGGGGCTGGAATTCACCCCTCTTCATCTCAATAGACTTAAGTATTGACAGTAAAGATCCCACCAATAGAGCTTTTTCAGTCTAACCAATCTAGATGTTAGGGACGTACGCGGCACTCTTCACCAAGTTATTTTTGCACAAGGAGAATGATAGTACTTGATTAAGCAGATGAAATGGTTTCAGAGGATTGCTGAAATTGTAACTGTAGTAGTGAGAACATTTAGAAAAAAATCCAGCACCTGAATTCACTGGGAGGCATGTTTTTTTATATAAGGGCTGACTAGAACCCTTAGTCTGTAGTTAGTTTTCTTAAAGGTTTATTTGAATACGGTGCTCTTAAATTGAATAGAGATTGAATCATTCATCTTTTGGTCATTCTTGAACTGTCCTACCCTTTATGAAAATTATATACTTTTACTATTCTGTAGATAGACAATGATTTAACAGTGAGAAACATGTCAACATTTGCTTACTGAACAAAGATGTTCCTTTACAGTATGAAGATTTTTTTTTAAATATTCTCTCTGTGGAATAGACCATGTAAATAGATGAGAGAAGAAAAAAAGTTGGGTCAGAAATGACTTACTCAAGCATAAAAACAAAAAACAAAGACAAACAAAAAAACCCTGCATCTACAGTAAAGGAGGGTGAGGATCCTGACCAATAGAAAAAGGTGAACAGTCAGCAAGCAAGGTCCGATTCTCCTCTCAGACAAGTTTTACACTAGAGTAAGTTCATTGGTTTCGAATAGTTACTCTTAGTTGACACCAGCATAAGTGAGAGGAGAATCAAAACATTTATTTGAAAGTCTAATGTTGGAAAAAGAAAATGGTAAAATCTAGTTTTGTTATTGGCTGATTCTTCATAGGGAACAGGCTGGATCAACTACATACTGGGACAAATTCAACCCTGGTGTAACTCCGCTGAAGTCAAGAGAGCTACACATGATGGCTTTGGATGACCACTGTATTTGATTTATACTATTGAATTTGCACTTTGTATGTGATGTATTAGCAAAACTGTTAATGATATTATGAATGTGAATTATCCGTCCAAGACAATAATAAGAGATCAATTCAAACCAATTAAAATAGCAGGGGAAGGAAAAATCACAGAAATCTCTGATTTTTGTCCAAAAACAAACAAAACAAACAAACAAACAAACCAAACCTACTGAAAAATACATATTTTCACTAAAGGAAAAAAAACACATATCTTCTACTGGTTAATATGATGCATGGTTGCTGAACTGCACCTCAGCCTAAGCATTTATTTGTTAAAACACAATGAAATATTAAGTATGACTGTTCATAGCATAATTATTTTTCTTGAGTCCAGTGAGTTGGCATTGCTCACCTTTTTTTGTTATTGTTAATTATAATTATTTATCTCCATAAGACTGGACATGCCAAGGCAAATGATTATGTGTTCATATGAATCTGTTATTGCCAGCAATCCTATGCCCACAGAGCCACTGTGTCAGCTCCAATCACTCTACTAATGAATACTGGAAAATTCAATCCCATACAATTATCTTAAGCAGAAATTAAAGCTGCCCCTAGGAGGGTTTATTATTTCTATCTATCTTTCTGAAGACCATTTTTTCCTATAGGAGAAGTGCCCTTTTCCTGTTCATAGTGAAAGTTTCTTTCCACAATGGTATCCTACTTTTCAGTCTTCATTTCTGGAGATCTTTAACCTCACATAGCCACTGGCACCTGTGTGGTAAACACTTTTCTCTTGCATATCTGAAAGCACACTTATGTGCACACATGCACAGACATAGGACACCATCCATGGTGGGAGAAATGGGGTCAGGTCATAGAATCTGGAACCTGCGTGCAGATGTTTAGGTCAAATGTATGTCACTGTTAATGTCTTGAGTTTGTGCATATAACTTGCCCCATCTTTGCCCATATACCTCATCTGTCTGGCAGGGCTCAATTGAGTTTCATCTAGACTTTCTGCAAGGCTTTCCTTTTTGATGCTGAGTAACACGTGGCTCAACCCTTGTCAGCCCCTCACAACTCTCTAACCCATTGCTGACATGAAGGTCAAGAAACCAAGAGAAGGATTCAAACCAAGGTATTCCCTTCCATAGTGCATACCAGTTACTCATAAGTCACTGAGTCAGCCCAATGTCCACCTCCTGAATTGTTTATACTGGATAGCTGAAATATATCAAGCGTACTTGCTCTTCCTTTCATGATAGGCAAGAGTGTCAATTAATGTATATCTAGTGCCACACTTTGAAATGTGTGTCTTTAAGAGTTAATTCCATGGAAAACTCAGATAATGTATGTGTAAATGTATTTGCTAGAAAGAAAAGGTGAGGTTCAAAGAATATTGAATGAAACACAATTTCAGCTGCTTTTATTTAAATATGACATTATTACTATTCTGGAATGAAATACAGTTTTGGGAGATGAGAAGAACCTTGTTGAAAGACCCAAAATGGAAGAAACTATGGAAAGAACTGGAGCATTCTGACGAGTATGTTTCTTGGAAGGTGACAGAGCACTCCAGATACAAGTGAGAGTCATACAAAGACAAAATGTAAGGATAATTAAATTAAAAGTAGATGTTCTATGTTATATAACTATTTTCTATCACTGGAGGTAACATCACCCATCTATGTTTTGAAACAAACAGTTCAACATCTTACAGGATATTGTGAAGAGTTTCAACTTTACCTGATTCATCTACTCTCAGCTTTTTACTGGGATTGTCACCGCTGTCATCATCAGACATTTCCATCTCCTCTTCACGGCGGATCCCCATGAGCTGTTCGCTGTGAGCATTCCGGAGCTCCTAAAACCCAAAATGATCCTTTATCAGTATTGACTTCCATGAACTGATTCTATTTCTAAACAACTATTTTAAATTTTATATTCTTTTATTTTAAAAATACATATAAATAATCCATGAATATTAGTACAGAATCAGCACAAGCCTCAGAGTTAGAAGGGCTCAAATTGAAGGGAATGGAGTTCTTTGTGTTAAAATATTTTAAATATTGAATATGTCAAATATACCATTGGGAAAAAAGAACGGAGAAGATGAGTTCCCCTTGTTAAATTATTACCAGTCCTACCCAGGCAGGTATATTTCAGTAATGGCAACAATTAATACTGCATGTAAAATGGATGTATAAAGGTGCTATCAAGTTGGCTAAAAAATAAAAAGCTCCAGCTCTCATAAGCCCTAGGTTTCTATGCCTGCACATGGTAAACCCAATTATCACAAATTTTAAATTCTCAGCATAGAAACATCTTTTTTGGTAACATCTGCATCTTGATTTGAAACAAATGACAGAGCTAACAGCCCTTTCTCAGAAATGCCCCCACAAGGGCAGACAGGCAGGGAGCCTGTATGTATGTAACTAAGTAAATGATCAGCAAGCATGTGGGCTTTATAAAAGTCCAGAGCGTCTTTGTCCTCAAAAAATAAAACAGGACAGTACTGGTGTAATGGCTGGCTTTTTAATGGTTGCAGCACAGAGAAGACTGAGAGAATTCTATTTTGTCCTAATAATACTGTCAGGTGTAACACAGGGATGTTGCACAGTGATTAGTGTAGAGCTTTTCGGTCTGCAGACAGCTAATTTTTCTATCGACAAAGAGCCCAATTCCCAAAGAGATGGTTTGAAATCGTTGAAATAAGGAAAAGTCATGTGGAAGGAATAAATAGTGCTGAAGGTTCCAACTATTTACCCATGCAATTAACAACAAACTCTTATGGTGGGATGGAGAAAAGAAAAAGGAGGGTGTTTCCCTGGGGCTGCACCTTGAGTTCATCAGTAAATGTCATACACTATAATAAAGGTATATGTATCTGTTAATCACTGCAAAGGCAGAAAGACTAATTAATGGGTGTTTTACATGGGAATCATTTGACATTCAGAGGATTGACTAAAATGGTAAATTGAAAACCAGTATTGAATGAATTAATTGCATTTAAGACAAAAATTCATAAACCACTTTGGAATTCTATATTGAAAAGAGCCACAAACACTCTTTACCAGAGAGTATGCTGTATCTTCTTAGAAACCAATGATTAATGTATTTTAGACTGCAAATGTCCCAGGAGCATCTATTTCAAAACTGTCTTTAGCAGCCAAACAATAATCTTCTCCGGGAACCTCAAAGAGGTCACTTTTTTCTTTGCGTTGCCAGAAAAGCTCACATAGTGAGGGGAGGTGACAAGGGAAATGTAAGCACATTAGCAAAGGAGGGAATAATCAGATAATATGATTTGAATCAACAGAGCTATTTGTTGACATATGCATAATATTTTACAACTGAGAAATAGGAATTGTCATATACATTGGTTCAACCAGAGATTTCAGAACCTCTTAAGTTATTTTTTATTGTTTTCTTTCTTCAGAAAGAAAAAAAGAGCAACAACGTTTAAATAAGCAAAGATGTTTTGTGAATTAACATTTCTGGAAAGTCCTACTTTTAGGCATTTTACTTTAAAATCAATTTAAAAGCCAGCAAATGAATAATATGATGTGTCCCCTCATGAAAAGTTAGTTTAAGAAGGGATCATTTAAATCTGCTTCTGTAACAGATGACTGGAGGATAGCTAATGTGACACCATTTTAAAAAAGGGCTCCAGAGATGATCCAGTGGCAATTACAGGCCGGTAAGCCTAACTTCAGTACCAAGAAAACTAGTTGTAACTATAGGAAAGAACAGAATTACTAGGCACATAGATGAACATGATCTGTTCGAGAAGAGTCAACAGGACTTTTGTATAGGGAAGTCATGCCTCACCAATCTATTAGAATTCTCTGAGGAGGTCAACAAGCATGTGCACAAGGGTGATCCAGTGGATACTTGGACTTTCAGGAAGCCTTTGACAAGGTCCCTCACCAAAGTAAAGTCAGCAGTTATGGGATAAGGGGGAAGGTCCTCTCATGGATCAGTAACTGGTTAAAAGATAGGAAACAATGGGTAGGAATAAATGGTCAGTTTTCAGAATGGAGAGAGGTAAATAGTGGTGTTCCCCAGGGGTCTGTACTAGGACCAGTCCTATTCAACTTATTCATACCCTGGAAAAAGGGGTAAACAGTGAGGTGGCAAAATTTGCAGATGATATAAAATTACTCAAGATAATTAAGTCCAAAATAGACTATGAAGAGCTACAAAGGGATCTCACAAAACTGGGTGTCTGGGCAACAAAATGGCAGATGAAATTCAATATTGATAATTTCAGAATAATGTACATTGGAAAATATATCCCAACTATACATACAAGATGGTGGGATTTAAATTAGCTGTTATCATTCAATGGAGAGATCTTGGAGTCATTGTGGATAATTCTCTAAAAACCTCTGCACAATGTGCAGCGGCAGTCAAAAAAAGTGAACAGAATGTTGGGAATCATTAGGAAAAGGATAGATAATAAAACACAAAATGTCATAATGCTGCTATATACATCCATGGTACGCCCTCATCTTGAATACTGTGTGCAGTTCTGATCACCCCATCTTAAAAAGAGATATATTAGAATTGGAAAAGGTACAGAGAAGGGTAACAAAATGATTAAAGGTATGAAACAGCTTCCATATGAGGAGAGATTAAAAAGACTGGCACTTTTCAGCTTGGAAAAAAAGATGACTAAGGGGGGATCTGATGGAGGTCTACAAAATCATGAATGGTGTGAAGAAAGTGGACAGTGAAGTGTTATTTACTCCTTCACATAACACAAGAACCAGGGGTAACCCAATGAAATTAATAGGTAGCAGGTTTAAAACAATCAAAAAGAAGCACTTCTCACAATGTACAGTCAACCTGTGGAATCATTGCCAGGGGATGTTGTGAAGGTCAAAACCATAACGGAGTTCAAAAAAGAATTAGGTAAGTTCATGGAGGATAGGTCCATCAATAGGGATTAGCCAGGATGATCAGTGATGCAACCCTATACTCTGGGTGTCCCTAGCTTCTGACTTCCAGAAGCTGGGAATGGATAACAGGAGATGGATAATTTGATGATTGCCTACCAGGGCTGCCCAGAGGATTCAGGAGGCCTGGGGCAAAGCAGGGGAGCTGTGGCGCTTGTACTCACCCGGTGGTGGACTGGATCTTCGGCGACATTTCGGCAGCAGGGGGACCTTCAGTCTCGCCGCGTCTTCGGCAGCACTGAAGGACCCCCCACCGCCGAATTGCCTCCGAAGACCCGGGCCGCCGCCGGGCCAGGGCTCGCGGGGCCCCTGTGGGGCCCGGGGCAAATTGCCCCACTTCGCCCCCCCTCCCCCCCCCCCGGGCCGCCCTGTTGCCTATTCTGTTCATTCCCTCTGAAGCATCTGGTATTGGCCACTGTCAGAAGACAGGATACTGGGCTATATGGACCATTGGTCTGACCCAGTATGGCCATTCTTATTTTCTTATTACTTTAACATAGTTGAAATAAACTAACAGAAAACCACTTTTCACATCTCCCTAAAAGATAAGAAAGAAAACACCCACATCCCCAATTTCCAGTTAAACAAAGACTTTATTTGCCACCCACTTGAACTATTTATGAACGAAATGCAAAATACAGCTCTTAACAATAAATTATTCTAACATTTTATTTTAAGTGTCCCATTATTGTGAAGTCATTTGGTATTCGCCATAATAGCACTGATAATAAAAATTCATTTGGTATTCATGCGGATGTTACATCTAGTGCCATTGGTATTCAACTGTAATTTAGCATTAGTTAATGGGCACTTAAAACGCAACCCAAATGATTTATATCACAGCACTTAAGTGTTTCTCAAACTAAGTGTGCAACACTTATTTTACAAGTGTACTACAGAATAATTAAATAAGTGCATCTTACCTTCTATAGTTTTTGTTTTGAGACAGGGAAAATCATTTAGAGGACTGTAATGTTAACAATTAACATACTGTACTACATGGAAATAAACAACTGTATGTAAATTACTTTTACATAAAAAATAAAGAAAACAAAGACAGTGGTACTTACTTTTAAAATACGGGTTCATAGCGTATATACTGAATTAAAATCGAAAGCTGGATGACCAACACCACAAAACAGGACTACTACTTTCTTTCCTGACACTCATGTAAAGGAAAGTGGAATCCCAGATCTTTTTTCTCATTTTCTTTGCTCATGCTTATGACAGTCACACATGCATGGACTTGGATAGCCACCCTAATGTGTACTATTATTACATTTATACTGCTGTGTTTGCCAGCCATGAACTTAGAGTCAATACAAGCGATTGATTTATTTTTTAAAGATGGACATAAAATAGATGGGAAAGAGTACCTCCCATCTCTGGACTGAACACGCTTTACTGATTATTAAGAAAAGAAATCTTTATTTTATTTTCCAGCAAACTCATATTACTCTGGCCATATAACCAGAACAAATATCTATATTATATATCTGTTTTATTTACCAGATCCCAGTGCCTTCCTAAAAATGTATTGTTTAGTATGTGAAAGACTTAATTCTAAAATGTATTTATTTTAAATATCTTTGCTAATTTCACCATTTCATTTCATTATTTCAGAGTGGTAAACATATTCCTCTAATGATTTCCCATTTCTTGTAAAAGAAAAAGAAAAACACATTGCTCTCCAACTTAGTGTTATTTAACAACATTTATTGTAATGGGAGCAATGGGAGCAATACATACGGAAATGAGATAGTATAATGGCTAGTTGATTAACTGCTAAAACTACAGCCGTAAATATTGCTGAATGCTGTACGTCCAGCTACAGTCACACTGGTTCTGTGTCAATCCAGCTGTGAGATGATGGATAAAAAGTAATAATAAAATCACCAACCTCAGAATGCTTTCGCCAAATGTCTATGTTCTTTCGCTGAGCTTTCGAGAAATGGTCCCAAGCTTTTTGTCTGGTAGAAGCGTTGAAAACGGCCACAATCTGCTCAACTTTGGTGAACAAGGAAGTCAAACAAGACAAGCAATTTATGTTGTGATCACTATAGAGAAGCAAAGCAAAGACACTAGGAGTCTATGGATGATGTCATTATTGAAATAACATCATCAATATCCATCCAATCATGTGTCTTTTGTACTTACATTTTATCAATGTTGGAGATGTCTCCCTTCAAGTCTGTCTCCATAACTTTAGTCTACACAAGTTACAAATATATACTGAAGAATTTGCATGCAGTTGCCTCTTGTGCATAATTTGTGTGCTGTGTGTATGTTCATATAAATGTTGGGGGAGAGGGGTTGTGTGGAGGAGGAAGAAGTGCTAGAGGCAAGGTGTGAGGTGGGCCCCACTCTAATGACATTATCCCAAAGAAGCCCCGTGAAGCTAGGACTTTGTATTAAATCAGACCAAATTAGCTCCTTCCATTCTTAGCCACTTATTTGCTTACAGTTATTCCATTCTTCTCTTCTCTCTGTTAGTGCACCAATATACAGCATGCTCCTACTGCAACATTAACCTACTCAAACTGCGTCAGCAGTGGTGCGATGGTCCCTGATCGCAACACTTTGAGGTGCAAGTACCCTAAGGTTGGTCACAATCCAACATTTTCTACAGCTAAAGGGGAGGTGCTACCAGCTGAGCTGTTGTGCTGTTTCATCAGTTTAACCTGAATAAGCACCATTTTTGTAGTGAAGTTCTCTATGATTTAGCTCTCTGGATTCGTTGGCTAAACTAGCATTATCTGTTCTGTAAAGCTACCACGTTCCGTCTTTCAGACACTAGAATCAAGGAAAGGATGGTGGAACTCTATTCATGTCCCACTTCCTGTGCCACCTGAGCTGGTAGCTCCATATCTTACCTCACCCACACACCTAGTTACTGTTTTCCTCTCCCCTGGTGATTCATTTCAAATCGTGGGACTTTAAGGCTATGTCTACACTAGAAACACTACAATGGCACTGCAGCAGTGCTGCACCTGCACTGCTGTTGTGTGGACACTTACTACAGTGATGGAAGGTGTTCTTCCGTTGCTGTAGTAAATTCATCTCTCTTGGCGAGATCCCCGAGCCCAGGCGGCTGGTGCTGGGAGCCTGGAGCCCTGGCTGCAGCCGGGAGAGGGGAATCTCCAGCAGGGCCCTTCCCGCTTCTCCCCAGGAGCCTCTCCCAGGGCAGAGCCCCCAGCCTGGTCAGGGCCCCTTCCCGGGCCAGCCCCTGCCCGAGGTGGGCCCCGCTCGGAGGGAAGCTCTTCTCTGAACCCTCTGCAATTTGCCAACATCCTTTTTGAACTGTCAGTACCAGAACTGGACACAGGATTCCAGCAGTGCCTGCACCAGTGACAAACACAGAGATGCCGGTGACCTTCGAGGAGGTGGCTGTGTATTTCACTGCTGGAATTCTTCCGTCAACCTGGTGCTGTCTACACTGGGGCTTAGCTTGGCTTAATAATGTCTCTTCAGGAGTGTGAAAATTCACACTCCTCAGCAATGTAGCAGGTCGACCTAACTTTCTAGTGTAGACTAGTCCTCAGCCTTGGAGAATACAGTATACGGAGCAATCCTGCATTGGTTTCCCTAGAATGGGCTAGATAATTTAATAGGTTGTTTTTGTCTCTGACATCTATGATGTCAAACCAATGGATAAGGCCATGGATATTTCTGCTAAAATGATGAGCAGTGAAACAGTTAGCAATATTGGTATTTAAACTTTCATCCTCAGACTCAAGAGTTAATCACACAGACAAACAGCTTGCTTCTCTTTGCACTATTGTTCCAAGCTATTTCCAGATTCAGGAAGACAACGCTAGGTTGAGTCACATGAGGAAGCTTTTCTTTAAAACCATCAAGGTTGGTTAATTAACTGCTAAAAGTACAAATAAAATAAATATGTTTAATGAAATTTTAAACTCTGCTTAAACTACATAGACTGTTTAAGGAGTACTGGAATGGCATTCTGGTTCAAGCTCTGACTAGAGTCACAATAATTTCACTTGTTTGGCTCCAAAGGTGGAGATATATAAGGATGGAATTAAATTGTATATATTTATTAAATTAATTAAAAAAGATTAGAGTACCCATGATAATATGTATATAAATGAAGGCTAGAATTTAATGATTATGCGGCGTTAGTGACCCCGGTGCATAGAGTATCCTGCTTAATTAATAATCTGTGTTTAATTAGCAAATGGAAATTCAAATAGAAAAGATTCCCACTAAAAGGTATTAATAGAATCATCTGAATTTTGTAGAAACCTTTGAACTTTTAAGTGTTTAATTAAAAAGTTCTTTCTATAGGTGCTAACATCTATCAGAAGTCTTTATCTGATCATTTCAGAGGCTCTCTTCAGTGAAAACTCAAGGCAGGAAGAGGTCACAGAGATTTCCTGTCTTTCTTTTATAGGCAAAGTGAAGAGTGTACAGGAGGCCTTCTTCAATGATTAAAATTCTCAGGTGTTCAAGAAATAAATAAAAAAATAAATGTTAAGTGTGCAATAAGCTAAAAAGTCAAACAGTTATACACAATATTATCCAAGCTACATCTCTGGATATACATAAAGGGAAAAAACTAGGAGAGAATGCTAAGTGCCCATTATAATTAACATAACAATTAATAATACTTAGCACTCATAGTGCTTTTCATCCATAGATGAGTCAGGATGGCTTTTGAATTTCCTAACATTTATATATTAGCTCTTATCATACTTAGTTATTTTCATTTAAAAAAAATAATTGAATATGAATACGTGGAACCCAATCATGCAGTCTTCACTCCGGCAAAAATTCTATTGACTTTATTTGCCTAAGTCAAATCTCTGGAAATACAGAGAAGCTCCACTGACTTCAATGGAGCTATGACAATTTGCACCAGCTGAGGTTCTACCCCTTTGAGTTTCTCAGCTTCAGCTTAGGGTAAACCCATATAGGAGATACCATGTTCAGAGAACCAGATTTTAAAAGGCATTTAGGTGCCTAAAGCTGCAGATACATGCTTAACTCCCATGGTGCCTAAATACCTTATAAAATCTGTCCCTCTGAGCCTGACTCTTCCCTATATGAATGTATTCTCTGCCATACAGAGAATACTCTGGGGGGCAAAACCTCAGCTGGTGTAAATTGTCATGGTTCCATTGTAGACAATTGGGCCAATGGAGTTATTGAGTTCTCACTTCCAGTTTACTCATCCTTCCTTCAGGGATGAAGTTTGGCCAAACGCATCTAAGGCCCTAGCTACTGACCCTGGCTTAGCCACCATGTAACATGGCCAAGGTCCTTATCTGTAAAACGGGTTAATAATTCTTAACCTATCTTTGTAAAGTTCCTTCAGTTCTGTGTGTGAACAGCACTGTAGAGTATAAGCGCTATGTATTATTATTAAGTATCATTAAATATTCACCAACAAACATCTGTATAAAATTATATAATAAAATTTTCATTAGCCATACGCAAAATTGCTTCTTGTTAATCGAGACTATAGGTAACTGGTCAAATTTAATTTTAAGAACATCATTGTTCTGGAAGGATGCAAAAACCCCACTTCTTTTTTTCCTTCAATATAATTCAGATTTGTTTCCAATTTTCCTAAAAATTCACTCTAAGGCTTTGTGTTACTTTGTGTGGTGTGTTTCACACAAAAGATTATACTATTGTTTTTCTGCCGAGTTTTAAACCCTGAAAACCAGAGTTGATATGTAGATGTCAGCTAATGGTTCACAACTGCAGCATTTATAGGTTTATTTATTATAGGTGGAAACTTATATTAGGCATATTAAATAGATACTTACATCATCATTGTTCAATATTTGTTGCCATAAACAAAGTCGGCCAAATTATGATATTCCTCTTAAATGTAAATTAAAAAGAATACATAAACTATAAATCTAAGGAGGTAGGGACAAAGAGGACTGATCATAGGGAGAAGTGGAATATTTACAGTAGAAAATATGCCATAACATAGCAAGTTTACTGAATGAAGACAAGGTGGGGGTAAAGGGCTATACAGTTCTGTAGATAGGGAGACTATGGGAGAACATTTGTTTTCCACTATGTATATTAAATACATTCTTTCAACTACCTACACATGTTAAGGCTGAAATTGCATCTTGAAGTTCCAGTGACAAGAACAAGCAACTCAAATTGTGCTTTGCTTGATATTTCATTGATTATTATGCATAAATGAAGTTCTTATTCCTTTTATACAATAAAAATGTACATAGGCAACTGAATGTCTCCCAGTACTTTACAATAAAAGGAAACAATGAAGAAAATAGAATCCAGCTTGACCTCAACTCAAAACAAAAAATCAGAACTCATATCATGGACAACTAATTCCAAAATTGAGGGGTATAGAATGAAATGGTCCAAACACGAAACGATTGTAGGTGGAATAATGGAATATGCAGCAATTTATCTTAGAAAGATTTTAAAATGCATGACAAGTGATACTAAAAATAAAAGAAGGATTTCACCCATAAAATTAAAGTTGAAAGGAAATTTTACAGTCAACAGAAACATGATTTTGGAATAAGGACTCCGAGACAATAATAATGTAGATAGTTAGCCTGGTCTTGGTCAAAAGCCTGTCTGCTGAGTTCTGAATAAGCTGGAGTCTGCCAATCAATTTGGCAGGGAGCCCAGCAAACAAAGAATTACAGTAGTCAAGGCTAGATGTTATAAATGAATGGATTACAGTCTCCAGGTCAGCTGTGGATAGAAAAGGGCGTATTTCTGGCAACTGTCCTGATATGCATTTGGTGACATATTGACTATGTTCCAGCACTGAGTCCAAGATCAAAATTACCCTCGGCAACTTGACATGTAATGTTGACACAATATTTCAGTTAAGTGGCAGAGTAAAGAAAGATACAGAATTTTATAATTAATTGGGTCCAAAGAGAAGCATTTGGGTTTCAATGGTATTTACTTTCAGAAAAGTATTTGTCTTCTGCACATTAACAGCCAAAAGACAATAGAGCCCATTCATTGTTACCCAAGATACA